ACGCAAAGGAAGAAGGAGGAAGCCATCTTGAAGACCAGCTCGACCATCTACTCGACCAACCGGTCGAGTTCCTCAACTCGACCGGCCAAGCTTCAACTCGATCGAGCTGAGAAGTCAAAGTCAAACCCGAAAAATGTTGCTTCCCCCTTGACTTTCCTTTGACCCTAAACCTAAATCCTCTTGTATTTAAAGGCTAAAAGCCACGAAAAAACCACCAAGCTTTAGATTACTTTTGTTTTAGTTTCTTTTTAATTATTGTCTTTTACTTTTTAGAGCTCTAATCCCATCTTTGTGTTCTTGAAGCTCTTGCTTCTTGAATCCTAGATCCTGGATAATCTCTTTTGTATTTGCACTTGCTTATTTCAATAAAAGTTGTTTATCTTTATCTCCTCTTTCATTTGATGTTTATTTCAATGCATTTGTGTGTTTACATTCATGTGTAGTGAGTAGTTACCCATTAGGGTTTGAGATGGGATAGATTAGGGGTTTCATATGCTTAATCCTTCTTGCTTATGGTCTTAATCTAGATTCTCTCTCTTTTGGATAAATCTTAAGGCTACATGACCACTACCCCTGGCTTGTATGTCATTAGGCGATTCTCCACATGGAAGTGATGGAAATCGCTGGAAAATATCCACTAAGAGCTCCAATAACTCTTGCTCTCGAAATGGATTTCAAGGGGTTGGATGGATTAGTTTGGGCAATGATCCTATGGCCTCCAAGGTTGATTCTCACTGGCTAACCCCCTGTTTCTGAGATCATTCCTTGGTTGATAGCCTCCACCTTGGGAAAGGGTTGGCTAGGCATTGAGAAGCCCAATATCAAGAGAAGCCTTGATACAAGGAGTTTTAAGAGCAGATCGATTAAGTGTAGCTTCCCCTGTTGCAAAACCCTGTCTTGAACCCTAATTCTCGCATTAGCTTGTTAAAGTCGCTGCCTTTATTGCTTTTTACTTCAACTCGACCCTAAACTCGATCGAGCTCGGTACTCTGTTCCAACTCGACTCGAGTCCTTGGTCGAGCTGTTGCTTTACTGCTTTATTTACTTTTCTGCATTGCATTTCATTTCTTAGGTTGTTAGTGTTACCCCATATCATTTACTGCTTGCTTGACTTCCTTGGTTGTTTCATATTCTCATAGAGTGACAATCTTCTCCCATTTTGGATTGATACCCTTTATGCTATAACAACTATCATGGTTAAAGGGAATTGTTGACTGTGTTTGTGTTTGCATCTTACCACCTCATCATATACCACTGTTGCATTCCACCACATCTCATTTCATATCATTTCACACCCACACACAAATCCTATCATCAACATTTCAGACTGGGCTCCTGATCTGAGCTTGACCTTGAGGAAGAGTACACTCCATCAGCGATTGTAGCCCAAACCCTTTGGAGTCATCCTCCTTGAGTTCCATGGTTCCCTCTCCATAGTGAACCCAAAAAGATCTCCAACTGCCTAAAGGTCACCATTCTCTTCTCTCCCTTGCCAAGAACGTGATCCATCCCAATCCTTGGTCCAAATCAGCTCGATAGCTCTTCCTCATACATGTGGTACCTCATTGAAGCTAAACTCGCAAGTGAGCTCCTTGTAGGATTCCATGTGGTAGGAGAAGAACTTGGCCAAGTGCATGTTCTTGAGGACCAACTCCACATCTTCAAAGATTCCAAGGGCCTTCATGGTGTCACATGTGGGTACTTGGTGTCACAAAGTCCATGGAGAAGAGAGCATCATAGTGCTCTTGGTACATGGGGAGCTCATCCTCTTCTTCCTTGACTCCTCCTCTTCCATGGGCACATTCTCATTGCCCTCATGCTCACTCTCCTCAATCTCTTGATTGATCTCTTCTCCTTCTCTTTGGAGTCATCATTCTCCTCATGTGGGATGTTCACCCCAATTTCAAACTCTCCCTTCGCTCTCACTGCTGAGAGGATCATTCCTCTTTTGGTCCTTCTCTCTTCCTCACCCTCTCAACCTCTCATCCTCCTTGGTTTGTGTTTGAGTATCCTCCTTGCTCCTCTCTTATCTCCCTCCTTGTGAACGCTGCTTGCTTCCTTCACCTCTCAACATCTTACTGTTGCTTCGATTGGTCCCTGAAATGCATCAAAAGTTCAAAGAATTAGAGTTGTAATGATCGGTTTGGTCAACTCGACACTCAGCTCGATCGAGTCAAAAAACTCGAGTGACAAACTCGATCGAGTTAGTGAAAACAGAGTATAACCAAACCTCAACAGTATTAAGAGCTGGAAAGGATGCTAATCAATCAAATTGAACCAAGAACAACTAGTAAATGGAACAATAAGCAATTCTAGTGAAAACATAGCAACCTAACCATTACCAAACTCAAATTCAACCTTTCAAGCACATGCAACAAGTTTAAAGGCAAAACAGAGGTGAGGTGAGCAAAACTAAAACTATAACAGAGAATATGAAAGCAATTCTCAAGATAACCCACAAGGGACACATGCAATCAAAAATCAAAGAGAAACAAGCAATAAGGAAATCGAGATGGAGGATCAAGGGTTTTAGGGTTCATACCTTGTTGAATGATGGAATTGAAGAGCAGTAAACTAAACAAACAATGAACAAGAAAGAAATCGCAAAAACTTAAGAGAGAGATTGAAATTCGAAATTTTCTTGTGGTGAAGAGAGAGAGGAGAGTTTCAGAAATTTAGAGTGTGGGAGAGAGAAGTGGGTTCGATCGAGTTATGGGGAAGAGGGAGTTGTTTGAGATGTGTGGTTGAGATTAAAAGGTGAAATAAAGAGGGAACAAAAGCTAGGGATTCTCTGATCGAATTAGGGTAGTGGGGGACCAAAATCAGCTTGTGGGACCCACTCCCTTGACCAAGAAAACGGTTGAATTTGAAATTCAAAAACTTACCTTGGTCGAGTTTGGAACTCGATCGAGTTGCCCTGGTTTCTAGCTCGATCGAGTCGGTCGAGCTCCTTTGACACCTAAACTTAACTTATTGAAAGGTTAAAACATAAAATAGATAGAAATTGCATAAATAGAGTATGTACAAGGATAAACATGGGACTTCCTCCCAAGTGAGCTTGTTTAAGGTCCCATAGCTTGACCTTTACCTTCTTAGGCATTGGTTGAGCTAGTCCCACCATCAAGGGTGATAGTGAGGACTTGAGACAGAAGCTCCTTTAGCTTGGTTGGGTCCCTGGACTGTTCTGAAGTCACCAAGGCCTTGGCTCTAGAGAATGGCCTTGATCTCCCCTTGTACCTTATCTTGTACTCAATCTTCCCATTTTCAAACTTGGTGGGGAACAAAGTCATTGTGAGCTGAGATGGCTTGACTGAAGGGGCCTGAGCTGGTGGATCCTTTCTTTTATCACCTGGTCTTGCCTTAGAGGCTGCATCCTCCCCTTCTTTTAGAGCCCTTCCTAGTGGCTCATCAAACAAAGCTTGAAGGCTCTCTTCATCAAGCACACAAGGGGCTTGAACAAGTCTATCAGCTCGTGGCCTATCAGATCGTGGTTTCTCAACTCTAGCCCTCTCAAGACGTGGCTTCTCAATCCTTGGTCCTCTCTCATCCTTATCCTTCCCAACTCTTGGTTCCTTGTCAACCCTTTCCTTCACAACCTTTGTAGCTCCATGACTCTTAGAACTGAGAGTGGTACTGTCAATTGTGGCACAAAAGTCTGAACCTCTAGGCTGCAAGCGATATGACACCAAACTATTCACCTTGTGAAGGATCACTTCTTGCTTGTGAAAGTCTATTGAAGCGCCAACTGTACTAAGGAAAGGGGTTCCCAATAACAGAGGCAAATCCTTCTCTTCTTCCATTTCCATCACAGTGAGATCAGTTTGGATGATGCATTCTCCAATTTTCAAGTGATAGTTCTTGAACACTCCAAGAGGAGACTTAGAAGTTGCATCTCCAAACATGATTGAAGTAGTAGGGCGCTGCAAGGCTCCAGCAATGCCTAGCTTCTCTGCCATGGAGAGAGAGATCAGATTGATGCTTGCTCCAGAATCCACTAAGGCATTGTCAATCTCAAGATGCCCAAGTGTGCAAGGGAGAGTGAATTTCCCTTGATCCTTGACCTTTGGTAGGAAGGTGGGTGAAGTAAGCAGGTTGAACTGATGAGTAGACTCTTGTAGGACCTCTGAAACTTTATCACTGTTGGCAGAACATCCTTGACCATTTGCATTTGATCAAATGCCTCACTCATGCTATCCATAGAGGCAACTCAATTCCAATCCCACTGAGATCTCTTCTGAACTTGTGAATCACTTCCTTGTGACCTTGACTAAGTAGGCGAGACGAGGAAGGCAACCGGTTGTAAGGATCAAGCAAAAAGGCTTCGGACAGAAGAGGTCGGACTCGATCGAGCTAGAGTTGACTCGATCGAGCTGCCGATCGAGCTTGTCGTGCGAGCTCAACTGGTGAAGTGTGAATGGCCACAGTAGGTGCATGCACTTCTGGTTGATCAATCTGGACTCCAGGAGCCTCAGCAGCAACAATCTCTTCATCATTCAGCAGTAAACAAAAATCTTCAATGACCCTTTCTTGATCCTCTTCTTCAACAAGTCCTTCTTGAGTGAAGATGACCTTGCACTGTTCCTTGGGGTTCTGAATAGCTTTACCAGGTAGTTGTCCTTGCTTTGTAGCAGCAGCAACAGAAGAAGCATGATTCTCCAGAGAGTAAACCCTTGTGTTGAGGTTCTCGATCTTAGAGTTTATTTCAGCTAGCTTCTTGCTTGTGTCCACTACCCCATCAGCTTGCCCTTGAAGTAGTTGCTTTAGCATTGCCTTGAGCTCATTCTCTTGTGAAGGTGCAGGCTGGGGCGGTTGGTGGGGGAAGCCTGGTGGGATATTCATTTGTTGTCCAGGGAAAGTGCCTTGTGGTCCTTGGTAATTGTTCTTTTGACCATACCCATGTTGTGGTCCTTGACTCGATCGAGCTGCTTGTTGTTGAGGATAGACTTGGTCCTGAGGGTTAGCAACATCAGTGTTGCGGTATGACATGGCAGGGTTGGACTTGTAGTTATAGTATCCTTTGTTGTAACCTCCTTGCCCATTGCTCATGTAGCACACCTCAGCAAATTGTGTATCCTCCCCTTCTTGGACTGGTTCCATCTCCTCAGCAGACACAAAGTTGACTTTCTTCATTGTGGACTGAGCTAGGATCAGCTTATCCAACTTCTCATTCAATGCCTTAACATCTTTTCTCAACTTTTCGTCTGACTCGATCGAGTGGTGGGTCGAGCTCCGGTTGGTGCGATCATACTCTTCTCCATAGCTTCCATTTGAGTTAGCTATGTTCTCCACAAGTTGCCAGCCATCATCTACATCCTGGTTGAGGAAGTTCCCATTGCTAGCTGTGTCTAGCATCTCCCTATACCTAGGCAAGCATCCTCTATAAAGAGTGGAGAGTAGTGATTCATTGTTGAATCCATGGTGTGGGCACTGACTTGTGTAGCCTTTGAACCTCTCCCAAGCCTCTGCGAATGTCTCATTGTTTCGCTGGATGAAGCTGGATATCTCTCCTCTAAGCTTGAATGTCTCATTCCCCTCTGGGACGTCCATTGTATCGGCAACAAGCACCTCAGGTTCCTCTTGTACCCTCTGTGACCTCTGAACCCTCTTTTCTACCCGTTGTAAAGTCTAGCTCGACCAAGTCCTCTGTAGACCGACTCGATCGAGTTCGCATACACCTGCAAAAAGAGACAAAAACCCAGCAGTACAAAGAACAGGGGTGGTATAGCTTGATCGTCCAAGTGTATTGAAACTCAAATGCAACAAAATAATCCCAAATCGGCAACGGCGCCAAATTGATGATAGGATTTGTGTGTGGATGTGAAAGATATGAAATGAGATGGTGGAATGCAACAGTGGTATATGATGAGGTGGTAAGATGCAAACACAAACACAGTCAACAATTCCCTTTAACCATCATAGTTGTTATAGTAAAGGGTTATCAATCCAAAATGGGAAACTTGTCACTCTATGAGAATATGAAAAACAAGGAAGTCAAGCAAGCAGTATAGATTGGGGTAACACTAACAACCTAATGAAAAGAAATGCAATGCATAAAAGTAAAAAAGCAGTAAGCAACAGCTCGACCAAGGACTCGAGTCGAGTGGAACAGAGTACCAGCTCGATCGAGTTTAGGGTCGAGTTGAAGTAAAAAGCAATAAAGGCAGCGACTTTAACAAGCTAATGCGAGAATTAGGGTTCAAGACAGGGTTTTGCAATAGGGAAGCTACACTTAATCGATCTGCTCTTAAAACTCCTTGTATCAAGGCTTCTCTTGATATTGGGCTTCTCAATGCCTAGCCAACCCTTTCCCAAGGTGAGGCTATCAACCAAGGAATGATCTCAGAAACAGGGGGTTAGCCAGTGAGAATCAAACCTTGGAGGCCATAGGATCATTGCCCAAACTAATCCATCCAACCCCTTAATCCATTTCTAGAGCAAGAGTTATTGGAGCTCTTAGTGGATCTTTTCCAGCGATTTCCATCACTTCCATGTGGAGAATCGCCTAAGGACATACAAGCCAGGGGTAGTGGTCATGTAGCCTTAAGATTATCCAAAAGAGAGAGAATCTAGATTAAGACCATAAGCAAGAAGGATTAAGCATATGAAACCTCTAGTCTATCCCATCTCAAACCCTAATGGGTAACTACTCACTACACATGAATGTAAACACAAGCAAATGCAATGAAATAAGACATCATAATGAAAGAGGAGATGAAATAAACAACTTTTATTGAAATAAGCAAGTGCAAATACAAAAGAGATTATCCAGGATCTAGGATTCAAGAAGCAAGAGCTTCAAGAACACAAAGATGGGATTAGAGCTCTAAAAAGTAAAAGACAATAAATTAAAAGAAACTAAAACAAAAAGTAATCTAAAGCTTGGTGGTTTTTTCGTGGCTTTAGCCTTTAAATACAAGAGGATTTAGGTTTAGGGTCAAAGGAAAGTCAAGGGGGAAGCAACATTTTTCGGGTTTGACTTTGACTTCTCAGCTCGATCGAGTTGAAGCTTGGCCGGTCGAGTTGAGGAACTCGACCGGTTGGTCGAGTAGATGGTCGAGCTGGTCTTCAAGATGGCTTCCTCCTTCTTCCTTTGCGTATCCAGTTGAGCTGCGTCCATGCGCCAAGTCCCTTCCATGCTCCTCACGTCCCATATGCTCCAGAATGCTCCAAAAGACCTATTTCAAAGGACCAAACATGCATATGTATGCAAATGCAACCTAAAACTACTATGAATGCATAAGAAGAGAAAAGGAACAAGATATGATGCTAATGGATGCTAAAACTATGCAAAAGATGCATAAAAGATGTACTAAAACTATGCAAAATGCAAGTAGATCATGCTCTTTTGCACACTCTGAAGTAGAATTGTAGAAAGGGTTCTCTCCACATGCTTGATTAGCTCTTCATTAGACTTCAGGATGGGGTGTATGCCTCCCCATTCTTCTTCATCACGCTCTCCTTCTAGTGATGAGAGTAGTGGTTGTACTTAGACTTGAAAGGTGGCACCTTGCAAATCTCTTCAAGAAAGCTTCTCTAAAATCGATCCATGACTCGATTGTAGAAAGCGGTTCATGCTGCGCCCAATCTAGTGCTGGTCCAGCTAGTGATGTGCTGAATAGCATCATCTTCTTCTCAAAGTCAAAAACTCCATAGGAATCACAAAGATTCTCAAAGTGATCTATGTGCTCCAGTGCATACTCTGAAAACAGATCATGGAATTGATCTCTCTTCACGAACTCGATCAGCTCAGGGTCAATCTCCTCTTCTGGTGTGGCTAGAAGGTGTTCTTCTCTGTATGATGCGGCTTGGCTAGACGTCTCCAGGTCGGCTGCTTCAAGGTAGGGAAGAAGTTTCTTCTTGGTCTTCAAGAGGATATCTTGGAGGACTATCCCAAGAAGGTGGTGGTGCTTGAGGGCTTGACATCTCTTGTTCGTCCAAGAGGTCTCTTTGAGGTGGTATGTGGCGAAGTGGGATCGCCTTTATAGGGCAAGGACTTGTGCTTTCTCCATATCTAACTAGGAAAACCTGAAAAAGCTCAAAAACAAAAAGGAAAAACGAAATCAAAAGAAAAAGGAAAAATAACAAAAACTAAAAAGGAAAAGAAGAACCCTAGACTAGCTCTCTTGCAAGAGCTTGTAGGTGCGAATTGGTCCCCGGCAACGGCGCCAAAAACTTGATCGCGGGATCAGGTCTTCCCCTTTCCTATCCCTGATTCTGCAAGTGCACAGGTCAGAAGTAGTAAACGGGTATCGAACACGAGGACCAGATTGCACACTACAAACTATAAGATTGAGATCGAGCTAGGGCAAACAGTATGAGTTGGTTGAGTGCAGTGAAAGTAAAGCATGCAAGTAATAAGAAAGATGAAATCAATAGGAGAAGAGGGCTAAGCAATAGGATAGTCTTAAGATAAGCAATTCATGAAGCAAGATCAATCAATTAGGGTTATTGCAATTAGGTGCCAATCTAGAACTTGAAACACTATGGTATGATCTTTCCACTTCGAGGCTCCGACCCCTTTGTTAATCTCCTAGTCGCTAAACTTTTGGTATGTCCCTAGGTGATTAAATCAAGCATTAGTTCGATTAAGTTCAATTGTTCACAACCTACAAGTAAATCAACTTTCGCAGTCTAAAAGAGGTTGCCCACCAAATACTAGTTCAGGCGAATGATACAGCACTTTCGAGGCTCAAATCAACCTAGATCATATGCTAATTGGCCAGATTAACAACAAGCATTAAGTATAAGCAAAGATGAAGATTATAAGTAAAACCCTAATTGTGATCGATCATCAAGCATACATGAATGCTATCCTTTGACTTCCTATCACTTAACAAGTAAACTACTCAGACATAGAGAAGGAACACGAATTCATATTCATAAGAACAGAGATTCGAATCCTCTCTAGAAAGAGAACAAGCAAGAACAAAGTAAAAGCAAGCAAAACTTTATTAAAGATGTAAAGTAAATTGTGGTCTCTCTCCTTCTTGAGTTACAAGGCTAAAAAGAAGTATTTATAATGCACTAAGTATGAAAAAGCGGCTAGACCTAATCTAGCTAAGTCGGCGCCGGCTTGGGCTTGAATTGTTGGCTTCGGGTCGACCGCGGCGTTCGGACGGTCGGTCGGGACGATCGGCCGGTCGTCGGATCGTTCGGCCATCGGTACGGTCGGAACGATCGTGGCCGACAGTTTTCGTGTTCGGCCGCGGGGTCGGACGGATGGATAATTGGCCGATGAACTTGGCCGGACGGGACGATGCTTCCTGTTCGGACGGATGGGTCGGCCGCGGTACATGGGTTGTGCCGCGCGGCCGCGAGGCTTTGCCTTCCTGTTCGCTCGCGGCGGTCGTGCACGGATGGTGGCGTGTGGAAGTGGTTGGCCGACCGCGGGACGATGCTTCCCGGGTCGGTACGTGGGATCGGCCGTGGACTTAGCGGGACGCGGATGATATGCGCGGCACGGTCGCGGTATGTTCGTTCCTCGATCGGCCGGCGTGCGCGGCTTCAGGACGCGATTCTCGATAAGGCCGTCTGGACCAGTCTTCACTAATTTGATCATAACTCCTTTTCTACTCATCCAAATGATGCCAATCCAATTGCGTTGGAAAGTTAACTCACTCAGAGCACGCAGGGAACTGGTCTTGATGAAATCCATTGAGTAGATCTTTTTTAGCTCCTCCCAAAGTAGATGCAGTGACATTGACTGGTTTGAAGTCCAAATCCTCTGTTTTGCTCCATAATGCACCTTTTGACCTAAAATGACTCTTTGCAGTATAAATCCATAAAAACTACCTTTTAACACAAGAATCCACTAGAAAACCATTAGAAAACCATAGTAAAATAGCATAAAAAGCATGTAAAATAGAGGTATATCAACACCCCCAAACTTGAACTTTGCTTGCCCTCAAGCAAACAAATAGAACAAGAAAGAGATGAGGTTTGAAAACAAGCTGATTCAACACTTAAAAACATGTCCTCAAAAGCGATTTGCTAAATGTCCAACTTAGAGATTCTAGAATGCAACAAGGTGAGAGATATTCATTAAGATTTAACCATGCTTATCAACATCAATCCCACTTCACAGTCACTCAAACAATGCATTCAAATCAGCAAATCCCTTTAACATTCATTAAGCAAAAACAGTGAACCAAAAACATGCAAGATCAATCAACTCATTTGGTTTCAAGGGTTTATGGGTTAAGAGACAAAGAGGGTCTCTTTTGTATGGTGGTTTAGTAACAGGGATCTCTCAAGAAAGTGGCTTTGCTTTGGCAGAAGGCTAAGTGTTAGAACCAAAGATGATGCAAGAACAGCAGCTCGAGCCGCCTAATCCTAACTCGATCGAGTTCAACACTTAGAGCTTTTTAGAACAAAATCCTAACTACCCTTTTTGGCATTTCGCCTTTGAAACTGAGGAGCTTTGCTCACTTTTCTTTTAAGAACATCCTAGGGAGAGGCTTCTTGAGGTAACATCTAGCGGTTTGGGATTTTCTAAACACTTAGGGAACTTTTCTTTCCTTTTTGACACTTGAGGCTTTGCCTTCTTTTCATTCTACTTAGAACCCTTTTTACTTTCTTTTTTAACTTCCCAAACCTTTACTAGACCCTTTTTAACACTGCCAACTCCCTGGACTTAACTAAACTCTTTTTCCTTTGGTTTTTCCCAACTTTTACCACTTTTCTGGTTTTTACACCCAACTCGATCGAGCTCGAGTTGGCACCCCCAAACTTAGCCTGAAAACAATCCCAAGAGAACTAGACAACTAGAACTACTGCCCCTGCCGGTTTAAACACAACACCTTATGCTAAGCAAAGCCAAGAAAGGTTCTCACATTCGCACAAGAGATAATAATGGGGTTTGAAATGAAAAAGGCTTAGGTTTAAGGTGTGGTAACTGTCTCAAAGATGGAGATCAGCTATCTGGACAAGCAAGAGGGATATGAAAATAGGTAAAGAATGTCCAGATATGTATGTGGTAGCCATGAGTTGAAATCAAATGCAAGCATTGGTAATTAAAGATCAAGTTATGGTTCAAATAGATAGGGAAATGCATCAAATCACAGCAATGGTTGAATGAGATGTGCATGCAGTGATATGATCAAGATAAACATGGTTCTTGCTGCTCAATCAATCTCACCCTAATGCACAAAAGAATCTAAAAACAGGGCACTCAAGAAATCGCAAATGATGAACAAGTTTTCAAGATCAAATCAACAATGCAAGTGAAAATGATGCAATCCTAAACAAGTCTAACAAATATGAATGCAAAAAGATGAAAATATTTTTGGATTTTTTGAAAATTTTTTTTTTTTGGTTTTTCTATGCAAATAAAGATGAAAAACTAAGAACAAAGAAAACAAGGTTAAATCATCTCTTGAACCCTCCCCCAAACTTAAATCACACAGTCCCTTGTGTGAGAGAAATTCAGTGAAAGATTCAAGAGGCAAAAACCAAGAAAAAAAAAGAAATGCAAGAAATATGAAATGGTATACAAGGGTTGTGGTGTTTGATACCTCAGTGCCCCCCAAAGAACTGGGAGGCAAGGTCGTGGTCTGGAGAGGGCAAGCGGCCATCAGGAGCACTCCAATCGACCGGATCTATGCCGCTCGATCGAGCTTGCGGCTCCTCTTCTTCTTCCTCAAAGCGTGTGTGGCTTCCTTGGCCCTGGTGGAGCTTGGGTTGCTCAAACGAGCCGTATGGGTTCCAGTGGCTCTGTGGGTAGTCCTGGTAAGGTGCCTGATCGTACCCAAATCCAGGGTTTTCGAATTCTGACCCCTCAAAATCAACTCGACCATCAGCTCAACCGAGTTAAGTTTCCTCTGTTTGGACTCGATCGAGTCCACTGGTCGAGTTAGAGCGTCGGGCCTTGGAACTCTTCCTCCTCCTCTGCGTGTTGTCTCCTTCTTCCCTTGGTTCAAATGACGAGGCTCTTGGGCAGGGAGTCTCCTTGGCGTGGTGAGAAGGATCAACTCCTAGGGAATGTAGAAGCTATGGGAGTCTTCTTCTTCTTGGATGAAGAACCAGAGACCTTCTTCTCCAAACCCTTATCTTGCTCACCATTTTGTCCATGGACTTTTGCATTTTCTCTATGGCCTTCCCTTGCCACTTGTTGAACTTTTGGAGAAGTCCAATCCTCTTGTGAGCAGCCACAACATAGGGGTTCATCCTTGGAGCCTCATACTCCTCAAAGTAGTAGCAGTCAGGCTCACCCAAATCCTCATTCATCTCGGCTCGATCCACAACTCGATCCTCAGCTCGATCGAGTTCAGGCTCCTCTTCTCGCAAATCATCCTCATGCCCAACTAATGTGTACAATGGGGGTCTGAAGTCAATGTTCTCACCCATGATGACTGTGGTGAGTTCAGGGTTGGGCAGGAGTAGCTTGGAAGGGCCAGCCGTGGGATGTGTGAACTTGAATTGATATTTCCCATTCACTTCCTTGTGATCAATGAGGAGGTTGGTTTTGCAGAACTGTATGTCCATCCAACCAGCTGGGGTTGACTTCTTCTTGTTTAATTGGACCCCAGCTGCACAAAGGATTGGTGTAATGATCCCTCCAACACTTAGATTTATTCCTTGTTGAAATCGAGTGCTATAGGCTGTGGTCTTGTAGGAGAGTAGCTCCTCAAGGAGAGGCATGAGGTTTCCTGCGTGTACTATCTCCTCTGAGCTTCTTCCCATCACTGTGCGTGAGATGATGGGCTTAATCCCCATGTCAAGGAGCTTGACTTCTCCTTCATTGATTGTCCCAGTGGCCTTCCTTGCAAAGAAGGTGTTGGCAAGGGCTTTGTGCACATATCTCAGCACAGGACTCCTTATCTGAGCAGCCTTGGACCTTGAAGAAGAGAACCCTTCTTCAGCGATTGTAGCCCACACACTTTGGAGCTCATTTTCCTTGATATCCCAATGGTTCCTTCCCATAAGTGAAGCCAAACAAGATCTCTAGCTGCCTGAAGGTGATCATCTTCCTTTCTCCCTTTGCCAAGAATGTTATCCATCCCCAGCCTTGGTCCAACTCAGCTCGATCGAGCTCATCATACTTGTGGTACCTCATCGATGCCAAACTCACAAGTGAGCTCCTTGTATGACTCCATGCGATGAGAGAAGAACTTGGCCAAGCGCATGTTCTTAAGGACTAACTCCACATCCTCAAAGATTCCAAGAGCCCTCATTGTGTCATCATGTGGGTATTTTGGTTTCCACAAAGTCCATGGAGAAGAGAGCATTGTAGTGCTCTTGGTACATGGGGAGCTCATCCTCCTCTTCTTGTGGCTCAGCCTCCTCCATGGGCTCATCTTGGTTACTCTCATGCCACTTCATCAACCTCTTGATTGACCTCCTCTCCTTCTTCTTCACTTTTCAGAATCATCACTCTTCTCTTCCAATGTTCACCCCAATCTCAAACTCTCCTTGCTCGCTCTCACTACTAATGGGGTCATTCCTCTTCTTGGTCCTCCTTTCTTCCCTCAATCTCTCGCTCTCAGATTCCAATTCAGAGTAGACATACCCCTCTGCCTCAGAATCTTCAATCCTTTGATTCATCCCTTCCAAATCGGCTTGCAATTTAGCCTCCTTTCCATTGCATTGCTTGATTCACCCTCAACCATTCTCCTTTGCGAAGCACGGCTTCCCTCACTGCTTGTCATCCTTGTTACGCTGTTTTTCCAACTAAGGTTCCTGAAATTCATCAAAGATTCCAAAGAGTTAGAGTTGTAAAGATCGATTCGGTCAACTCGACACACAACTCGATCGAGTCAAAAAACTCGAGTGACAAACTCGATCGAGCTAGGTGAAAACAGAGTATAACCGAATCTAATCAAGTATTAAGAGCTGGATAGGATGCTAAACAATCAAATTGAATCTAAGAACATCAAGAACTTGGAACAATAAGCAATTCTAGTGAAGACAAAGCATCCTAGCCAATTACCAAACTCAAATTCAAATTTTAAGCACATGCAACAAGTTTAATGGCAAAACAGAGGTGAGGTGAGGAAATGGATATGAAGGCAATTACTCAAGAACAAGTCCACAAGGGACACATGCAATCAAAATTCAAGAGACAACAGCAATAGAGAGGAATCAAACTTAAGGATTTGGGGGTTTAGGGTTCATACCTTGCTTGGATGATGATTGAACAGAACAGTAGCTAGAACTAAAGCAATTCAAGACAATGAACAAGGGAGAAATCGCAAAAACTTAAGAGAGGATGAGAGATTTTCGGATTTTTCTTAGAGAGAAGAGAGATGAATGATTTTCAGAAAATTTTGAGTGTGGGAGAGAGAGAGGGTTGTGCGATCGAGTTATGGGGAAAGAGGGAGTGTTTGAGATGTGTGGTGAGGATTAAAAGATGGTAAAAAGAGGGGACAAAAGCTAGGGTTTTTCTGATCGATTTGGGAAGTGGGGGACCAAAATTTACATGTGGGACCCACCCCTTGACCAAGGAAACGGTTAGAAATTTGAAATTCAAAAACTTACCTTGGTCGAGTTGTGGAACTCGATCGAGTTACCTTTGTTTCTAGCTCGATCGAGCTGTCGGTCGAGCTGGCTCCTTTGTCACCTAAACTTAACTTCTTGAAAGGTTAAAGACACAAAACTAGATAGAAATTGCAATAAAGAATATGTACAAGGATAGTCATGGGACTTCCTCCCAAGTGAGCTTGTTTAAGGTCCCATAGCTTGACCTTTACCTTTTAGGCATTGGTTGAGCTAGTCCCACCATCAAGGGTGATAGTGAGGACTTGGGATAGGAGCTCCTTTAGCTTGGTTGGGTCCCTGGACTGCTCTGAAGTGACCAAGGCCTTGGCTCTAGAGAATGGTCTTGATCTCCCCTTGTACCTTATCTTGTACTCAATCTTCCCATTTTCAAACTTGGTGGGGAAACAAGGTCATAGTGAGCTGAGATGGCTTGGTTGAGGAAACCTGAGCTGATGGGTTCTTTCTTTTCTCTCCCACAAGTGCCTTTGAGGCTGCATCCTCCCCTTCTTTTTGAGCGCTTCCTAGTGGCTCATCAAACAAAGCTTGGAGGCTTTCCTTCATCAAGGACACAAGGTGCTTGAACAAGCCTATCAGCTCGTGGCCTATCAGATCGTGGTCTCTCAACTCTAGGCCTCTCAAGGCGTGGTTTCTCAATCCTTGGTCCTTATCAACTCTTTGATCCTTCTCAACCTTATCTCTCACAACTCTTGGTTCTTTGTCAACCTTTCCTTCACAACCTTTGTAACTTCAGGAGTCTTGGAACTGAGGAGTGCTTTCAATTGTGGCACAAAAGTCTGATCCTCTAGGCTGCAAGCGATAAGACACCAAACTATTCACCTTGTGAAGAATCACTTCTTGCTTGTGAAAGTCTATTGAAGCGCCAACTGTGCTAAGGAATGGGGTTCCCAATAGCAGAGGTAGATCCTTCTCTTCTTCCATCTCCATGACAGTGATCAGTTTGGATGATGCATTCTCCTATTTTCAAGTGATAGTTCTTGAACACACCAAGAGGAGACTTAGAAGTTGCATCTCCAAACATGATTGAAGTAGTAGGGCGCTGCAATGCTCCAGCAATGCCAAGCTTTTCTGCCATTTGAGGAGATCAGGTTGATGCTTGCACTAGAATCCACCAAGGCATTGTCAAGCTCAATATGCCCAAGTGTGCAAGGGAGAGTGAACTTCCCTTGATCCTTCACCTTTGGTAAGAAAGTAGGTGAGGTAAGCAGGTTGATTTGGTGAGTAGACACCTTCAGAACCTCTGAAACCTTATCAATGTTAGCCATAACATCTTAATCATCTTCATTTGCTCAAATGCCTCACTCATCCATAGAGGCAACTCAACTCCAATCTCACTAAGATCTCTTCTGAACTTGTGAATCACTTCCTTATGGCTTTGACTGAGTAGGTGAGATGAGGTAGGGTCAACTGGCTGGTAAGGATCAAGCAAAATCGGTTTGAGGACTGATGATGTTGACTCGATCGAGCTAGAGTTGACTCGATCGAGCTGCCGATCGAGCTTGTTGTGCGAGCTCAACTGGTGAAGTGTGAATGGCTATGGGAGTAGCTTGCACCTCAGGTTGATCAATATGGACTTGATGTACTTGCATTTTACATGGTTTTAGCCCTTCTTTTATGCATCTTTTGCATAGTTTCATTCACCCAAAGCATCATTTCTTGATGTTTTCTCTTCTTTTGCATACATAGTAGTTTTAGGCTTGCATTTGCATACATATGCACGTTTGATGTCTTAATCAGGTCATTTGGAGCTAATTGGAACATTGCCTATCACTGGAGACTAGTTGAGGAAGGAAAGACTGTCTGCCCCATGTACGGACCCGCACTCGGTCGAGCTAGTGAGATGCGTCCGAAGTATCGTATCAAATGAAGGGTTTACACTCCGATTCAGCCTCTGACTTCTTCTTGGAAGTTGTGGATAATTGAGTTAGCTTTCGTCTGGAGGTGGTTTCATGTCATTCGGACCAGCGGTTCAGAAGATACGACGATTTGGTTGGACTCGACCCACCAGCTCGACCGGCCAGTTTCCAACTCGATCGAGCTGCTTTTCCAGGAGTCAAAGTCAAACCCGAAAAATGTTGCTTCCCTTTGACTCCCCTTTGACCCTAAACCTAGTTTGCTTTACTATAAATGGCATTGAGCCACGAATTAAACACAGCTTTGGCTCAACTTTTAATTAATCTTGTATTTGCATTTCCCTTTTTACTTTTTAGCCTCTCTTTGTGTTCTTGAGCTCTTGCTCATAGAACCCTAGATCTAGGCCTTGTTATTGTGTTTTTGCACTTGCTTATTTCAATAAAAGTTGTTTATCTTTATCTCCTCTATCTTTTGATGTCTATTTCATTGCATTTGGTTGTTATTTCATCATGTGTAGTGAGTAGTTCCCTTTAGGGCTTAAGATGGGATAGGTTAGAGGTTGTTTATGCTTAATCCTTCTTGCTTATGTTCTTAATCTAGAAATCTCTCTCTTTTGGACAAACCTTAAGGCTACATGACCACTATCCCTGGCTTGTATGTCCATAGGCGATTCTCCACATGGAAGTGATGGAAATCGTTGGAAAAGGTCCACTAAGAGCTCCAATAACTCTTGCTCTCGAAATGGAGTTCATAGGGGTTGGATGGATTAGTTTGAGCAATGATCCTATGGCCTCCAAGGCTTGATTCTCACTGGCTAACCCCCTGTTTCTGAGATCAAGTCTTGGTTGATAGCTTTCACCTTGGGAAAGGGTTAGCTAGGCATTGAGAAGCTCAATATCAAGAGATACCTTGATACAAGTTGTTTAAGAGCAAGACTGATTAAGTATAGCCTCCCTTTAGCTGCAAAACCCTGTCTTTAACCCTAATCTTCGCATTAGCATCTTAAAGTTTGCACCTTTATCGCTTTTCATTGCATTTCCTCTGTTTTTACGACCAACTCTCGACTCTCAACTCGATCGAGCTCTTGGTCGAGCTCATCAACTCGATCGAGCTCTTGGTCGAGCTCCCTTGCATCTGCTTGTTCTTGTTAATTTCTTGCATTTAGCTGCTTTCTTTTATTTTCTGCTTTGCATTTCGTTATATTAGGTTGTTTAGTTGTTACATCCATCTCATTTAATCATTTGGCTTGAATTGCATAGTTCCTGCATAGTTCTATAGAGTAATCAGCTTCCCATTTGGATTGACACCTCAAATGCTACAGATGGACTCGATCGAGCTGCCTCGATTTGTGCGAGCTCAACTGGTGAAGTGTGTAACAGTAGGTGCCTGCACTTCTGGTTGATCAATCTGGACTCCAGGAGCCTCAGCAGCAACAATCTCTTCATCATTCAGCAGTAAACAAAAATCTTCAATGACCCTTTCTTGATCCTCTTCTTCAAGTCCTTCTTGAGTGAAGATGACCTTGCACTGTTCCTTGGGGTTCTGAATAGCTTTACCAGGTAGTTGTCCTTGCTTTGTAGCAGCAGCAACAGAAGAAGCATGATTCTCCAGAGAGTAAACCCTTGTGTTGAGATTCTCGATCTTGGAGTTGATTTCAGCTAGCTTCTTGCTTGTGTCCACTACACCATCAGCTTGCCCTTGAAGCAATTGTTTAGCATTGCCTTGAGCTCATTCTCTTGTGTAGGTGCAGGCTGGGGTGGTTGGTGGGGAAAGCCAGGTGGTATGTGCATTTGCTGACCAGGAAAAGTCCCTTGGGTCCTTGGTAATTGTTCTTTTGACCATACCCATGTTGTGGGCTTGACTCGATCGAGCTTGTTGTTGTTGAGGATATACCTGGTCCTGAGGGTTAGCAACATCAGTGTTTCGGTATGACATGGCTGGGTTGGACTTGTAATTATAGTATCCTTTGTTGTAACCTCCTTGCCCATTGCTCATGTAGCATACTTCAGCAAATTGTGTATCCTCCCCTTCTTGGACTGGTTCCATCTCTTCAGCAGACACAAAGTTGACTTTCTTCATTGTGGACTGAGCTAAGATCAGCTTATCCAACTTCTCATTCAATGCCTTAACATCTTTTCTCAATTTCTCATCGACTCGATCGAGTGGTGGGTCGAGCTCCGGTTGGTGCGATCATACTCTTCTCCATAGCTTCCATTGGAGTTTGCTATGTTCTCCACAAGTTGCCAGCCATCATCCACAGTTCCATTGCTAGCTGTGTCCAACATCTCCCTATACCTTGCCAAGCAACCTCTATAAAGAGTAGAGAGTAGTGATTCATTGTTGAATCCATGGTGTGGGCACTGACTTGTGTAGCCTTTGAACCTCTCCCAAGCCTCTGCGAATGTCTCATTGTTTCGCTGATGAAGCTGGATATCTCGCTCCTCTAAGCTTGGCTGTGCGACCGGTGGAGAAAAACTTAGCAAGAAAGGCCTTCTTGCATTCATCCCAAGTGGTGATTGTGCCATGGGGCAAGCTCTTCTCCCATTGGTGAGCTTTGTCAGCTAGAGACATAGGAAAGAGTCTCAGCTTGATGGCATCTTCAGAGACACCATTGATCTTTGTCAAATCACAAAGCCTATCAAACTCATCAAGGTGGTCAATGGGGTCTTCACTTGGCAATCCATGGAACATCTTGTTCTGAACAAGGTTGATCATTCCCAGCTTGATCTCAAAGTTGTGGTTCTGCACTGGTGGTGGAACAATCCCTTGTCTCTGTTGATGGCGGTTTGGAGCATCTCCTGACCAATCGGTCGAGTTTGCCTAGCTCGACCGAGTCCATTGCCCAAAGGGTTTCCATTCCCCTCTGGTACATCCATTGTATCAGTAACAAGCACCTCAGGTTCCTCTTGTACCCTCTGACCTTCCTCTTTCTACCCGTGTGAAGTCTAGCTCGACCAAGTCTTCTGTTGACCGACTCGATCGAGTTCGCATACACCTGCAAAAAGAATCAAAAACCCAGCAATACAATACAGGGGTGGTATAGCTTGATCGTCCAAGTGTTTGAAACTCAAATGCAACAATATTCAACCCAAATCGGCAACGGCGCCAAATTGATGATAGGATTTTGTGTGTGGTGTGATATGATATGAAATGAATGAGGTGGAATGCAACAGTGGTAATAAGATGGTGGTAATGGTGCAAACACAATCACAATCAATCAATTCCCTTAACCATCATAGTCATTGAAGTATAAGGGTATCAATCCAAAAGGGTGAAATTGTCACTCTATGAGAATATGAAACACAAGGAAGTCAAGCAAGCAGTAATAGATGGAGTAACACTAACAACCTAATGAAATGAAATGCAATGCAAAAGTAAAGAAAGCAGTAAAGCAAGCAGCTCGACCAAGGACTCGAGTCGAGTGGGAACAGAGTAACCAGCTCGATCGAGTTAGGGTCGAGTTAGCGTAAAAAGCGATAAAGGCAGGAACTTTAACAAGCTAATGCGAGAATTAGGGTCTAAGACAGGGTTTACAATCAGGAAACTATACTTAATCAATCTTGCTCTTAACAACTTGTATCAAGGTATCTCTTGATATTGAGCTTCTCAATGCCTAGCTAACCCTTTCCCAAGGTGAAAGCTATCAACCAAGGAATGATCTCAGAAACAGGGGGTTAGCCAGTGAGAATCAAGCCTTGGAGGCCATAGGATCATTGCTCAAACTAATCCATCCAACCCCTATGAACTCCATTTCGAGAGCAAGAGTTATTGGAGCTCTTAGTGGACCTTTTCCAAGCGATTTCCATCACTTCCATGTGGAGAATCGCCTATGGACATACAAGCCAGGGGTAGTGGTCATGTAGCCTTAAGGATTGTCCAAAAGAGAGAGATTTCTAGATTAAGAACATAAGCAAGAAGGATTAAGCATAAAGATCCCTAATCTAGCCCATCTCAAACCCTAATGGGTAACTACTCACTACACATGAATGTAAACACAAGCAAATGCAATGAAAAGACATCAAAGAAAGAGGAGATAAAGATAAACAACTTTTATTGAAATAAGCAAGTGCAAATACAAAGAAGATATCCAGGATCTAAGGATTCAAGAAGCAAGAGCTTCAAGAACACAAAGAGAGGATTAGGTTGCTAAAAAGTAAAATACAAAATTAAAAGAAAGCTAAAACAAAAGTAAGCTAAAGCTTGTGTTTTTTCGTGGCTTAGAGCCTTTAAATACAAGAGGATTAGGTTTAGGGTCAAAGGAAAGTCAAGGGGGAAGCAACATTTTTCGGGTTTGACTGTTGACTTCTCAGCTCGATCGAGTTGAAGCTTGGCCGGTCGAGTTGAGGAACTCGACCGGATGGTCGAGTGGCGGTCGAGCTGGCTTCAAGAGCTGCGTCCATGCACCAAGTCCTTCCTTGCTCCTCACGTCCCATATGCTCCAAATGCTCCAAAAGACCTATTTCAAAGGACCAAACATGCATATGTATGCAAATGCAACCTAAAACTACTATGAATGCATAAGAAGAGAAAAGGAACAAGATATGATGCTAATGGATGCTAAAACTATGCAAAAGATGCATAAAAGATGTACTAAAACTATGTAAAATGCAAGTACATCAGATGCCACAATACTTCATCCAGGAAGTGGTCCCCGCAACGGCGCCAAAAACTTGATCGCGGGATCAGGTCTTCCCTTTCCTATCCCTGATTCTGCAAGTGCACAGGTCAGAAGTAGTAAACGGGTATCGAACACGAGGACCAGATTGCACACTACAAACTATAAGATTGAGATCGAGCTAGGGCAAAAGTATAAGTTGGTTGAGTGCAGAGAAAGTAAAGCATGCAAGTAATAAGAAAGTGAAATCAATAGGAGAAGAGGGCTAAGCAATAGGATAGTCTTGAGATAAGCAATTCATGAAGCAAAATCAATCAATTAGGGTTATTGCAATTAGGTGCCAATCTAGAACTTGAAACACTATGGTATGATCATTCCACTGTCGAGGCTCCGACCCCTTTGTTAATCTACCTAGTCGCTAAACTTTTGGTATGTCCCTAGGTGATTAAATCAAGCATTAGTTCGATTAAGTTCAATTGTTCACAACCTACAAGTAAATCAACTTTCGCAGTCTAAAAGAGATTGCCCACCAAATACTAGTTCAGGCGAATGATACAGCACTTTCGAGGCTCAAATCAACCTAAAGCATATGCTAATTGGCCAGATTAACAACAAGCATTAAGTATAAGCAAAGATGAAGATTATAAGTAAAACCCTAATTGTGATCAATCATACATGAATGCTATCCTTTGACTTCCTATCACTTAACAAGTAAACTACTCAGACATAGAGAAGGAACACGAATTCATATTCATAAGAACAGAGATTCGAATCCTCTCTAGAAAGAGAACAAGCAAGAACAAAGTAAAAGCAAGCAAAACTTTATTAAAGATGTAAAGAAATTGTGGTCTCTCTCCTTCTTGAGTTACAAGGCTAAAAAGAAGTATTTATAATGCACTAAGTATGAAAAAGCGGCTAGACCTAATCTAGCTAAGTCGGCGCCGGCTTTGGGCTTGAATTGTGCGGATTGGGCTTCAAAAACGGCTTCGGGTCGACCGCGGCGTTCGGACGGTCGGTCGGGACGGTCGGCCGGACAGTCGGGTCGTGTGGCTCGAGTCGGAACGGTCGTGGCCGGATTTTCGTGTCGGCCGTGTGGTCGGACGGATGGAATTGGCCGATGAATCTTCGGCCGGACGGGACGATGCTTCCCGGTCGGACGGATTCGGCGCGGTACATGGGTTGCGCGGCCGCGAGGCTTTGCTTCCCGGCTCGCGCGGCGCGGTCGTGCGGGGTGGCGTGTGGTGGTGGCCGACCGCGGGACATGTTTCCCGGGTCGTGTGGTGATCGGCCGGTGGACTTTGGCCGAGACAGCGGATGATACGTTTTGGCCGAGCGCGGAACATCGTTCCTCGGCCAGCCGGCTGCGCGGTTCGGACGCTGATTCTCGATAGGCCGTCTGGAGCAGTCTTCACTCTTTTGGCTATAACTCCTTTTCTACTCATCCAAATGAGCCGTTCCACTTGCGTTGGAAAGTTAACTCAATCAGAGCACGCAGGGAACTGGTCTTGATGAAATCCATTGAGTAGATCTTTTTCTAGCTCCATCCAAAGTTGAAGGGGCATTGAACTGGTTTAAGTCCAAATCCTCTGTTTTGCTCCATAATGCACCTTTTTACCTAAAATGACTCTTTGCACTATAAATCCATAAAAACTACCTTTTAACACAAGAATCCACTAGAAAACCATTAGAAAACCATAGTAAAATAGCATAAAAAATGTAAAATAAGTACATCAACACCCCCAAACTTGACTTTGCTTGCCCTCAAGCAAACAAATAGAACAAGAAAGAGATGAGGTTTGAAAACAAATTGATTCAACACTTAAAAACATGTCCTCAAAAGCGATTTGCTAAATGTCCAACTTAGAGATTCTAGAATGCAACAAGGTGAGAGATATTCATTAAGATTTAACCATGCTTATCAACATCAATCCCACTTCACAGTCACTCAAACAATGCATTCAAATCAGCAAATCCCTTTAACATTCATTAAGCAAAAACAGTGAACCAAAAACATGCAAGATCAATCAACTCATTTGGTTTCAAGGGTTTATGGGTTAAGAGACAAAGAGGGTCTCTTTTGTATGGTGGTTTAGTAACAGGGATCTCTCAAGAAAGTGGCTTTGCTTTGGCAGAAGGCTAAGTGTTAGAACCAAAGATGATGCAAGAACAGCAGCTCGAGCCGCCTAATCCTAACTCGATCGAGTTCAACACTTAGAGCTTTTTAGAACAAAATCCTAACTACCCTTTTTGGCATTTCGCCTTTGAAACTGAGGAGCTTTGCTCACTTTTCTTTTAAGAACATCCTAGGGAGAGGCTTCTTGAGGTAACATCTAGCGGTTTGGGATTTTCTAAACACTTAGGGAACTTTTTTCCTTTTTGACACTTGAGGCTTTGCCTTCTTTTCATTCTACTTAGAACCCTTTTTACTTTCCTTTTTTAACTTCCCAAACCTTTACTAGACCCTTTTTAACACTGCCAACTCCCTGGACTTAACTAAACTCTTTTCCTTTGGTTTTTCCCAACTTTTACCACTTTTCTGGTTTTTACACCCAACTCGATCGAGCTCGAGTTGGCACCCCCAAACTTAGCCTGAAAACAATCCCAAGAGAACTAGACAACTAGAACTACTGCCCCTGCCGGTTTAAACACAACACCTTATGCTAAGCAAAGCCAAGAAAGGTTCTCACATTCGCACAAGAGATAATAATGGGGTTTGAAATGAAAAGGCTTAGGTTTAAGGTGTGGTAACTGTCTCAAAGATAGAGATCAGCTATCTGGACAAGCAAAGGGATATGAAAATAGGTAAAGAATGTCCAGATATGTATGTGGTAGCCATGAGTTGAAATCAAATGCAAGCATTGGTAATTAAAGATCAAGTTATGGTTCAAATAGATAGGGAAATGCATCAAATCACAGCAATGGTTGAATGAGATGTGCATGCAGTGATATGATCAAGATAAACATGGTTCTTGCTGCTCAATCAATCTCACCCTAATGCACAAAAGAATCTAAAAACAGGGCACTCAAGAAATCGCAAATGATGGACAAGTTTTCAAAGTCAAATCAACAATGCAATGAGAAAGATGCAATCCTAAACAATCTAACAAATATGAATGCAAAAAGATGAAAATATTTTTGGATTTTTTGAAAATTTTATGATTTTTTTGGTTTTTCTATGCAA